ATGAACGCCCCGCCGAATGTATATTACTAATGTAACATGAAAATTTGTATGTAGTTTGATGAGAATATCTTGAACAGTTTCTTTAAAATTGAAACTAAAATCTAAAAAAACAAATAGGATATAGATGATAAATTCTCACCAAATTATGCATAAGTGTATGCTGACATAAAAATATCTTAAATTGTTTCTTTAAAACTAAGCAAAATACAAATTAAAGAGAAGGGAGGTCAAGGTCACAGGAAAGTGCAAGGTGAAAAGTTTTTGATGCAGTTGAATATCTCTCACTAATACATATCAGCATATTAGGTTTGATAAAAATATTTTGAATGATTTACTTAAAACTGTCCTTAACACTTATTTAAGAAAAGAGAGGTCAAGGTCAAAGGAAAGGTTGAGGTCAAAATATTGATGCAGTTGAAAAGTTTACATCAGTATGTATTTACTATTAGCATATGAAGTTTAATAAAAATATCATAAATGGTTTAATTAAAACATAGATAAACACTAATTTTAAAAAAGTGAGGTCAAGGTCAAATGAAAAGTCAAGGTCAAAAAAGTTGATGATATTCATAGCTCTCAGCAGTATGTATCAGCATATGAAGTTTGATAAATATATCTTGAATTGATTATTCAAAACTGATCTAGACACTAATTTAAGAAAAGTGAGGTCAAGGTCAAAGGAAAGGTCAAGGTCACAAAATGTTGATGCAGTTGCATAGCTCTTATCAATATCTATCAGCATATGAAGTTTGATAAAAATATCTTGGATAGTTTCTTTGAAACTGAGCTTTGAACTGAGCTAAAAGCAAAGCGCGACAGAAGGATGGAAGGACGGACATGACAAACACTATATGCCTCGGCCATATTCATGGCGGGGAATAAAAAACTTGAATCTACACCATATGAGAATGTTTCCATATCAAAATGACTAACAAGCAAATTCAAAGAATTGTGGTCCCCTGCTTTTCGTGTCTTAGTGGATGGGATGCCATTATTTATGGCATATTATTTAAATATGCATGCCCTATCATTTGTCATTCAAAAGTAATCACCAAAGTTAAAGTTTTTGAAAATTAGGTAAAACATCAAGGTCAAGGGGTAAAAAATCATAGCATGCGCGTAAACATCTTGTTACAGGTAATGTACATGTCAAATATGAAAGTCCTATCTCCTCTCAATCAAAAGTTAAAAGGAAATATAACATTTTTGAAAAGTAATTAAACTACAAGGTCAATGTCACAGAGTCAAAAGTCATGATATATTTAGAAAGGCCTTGTCACAGGTAATATACATGTATAATATGAATGCCCTATCTTTTCTCTTTCAAAATGATCAATTTAAAATAATGTTAAAGTTTTTGAAAAGTAGGTCAAACTTCAAGGTCATGGGTTCAAAAATCATAGTATATTTAGAAAGTTCTTGTAGGTAATGTTCATGTGAAATATGAAAGCCCTATCTCTTATTATTCAAAAGTTATGACCAAGGTTAAATTTATTGTGACAGACGGATAGACTTACAAACAGACAGACTGACAGACAAATAAGATTTAATGTCCCCTATGTCCCTTTCGCGAAAACGGAGGACAATAATGCCCTTGTTGTTCTTGAGAAGATTTATGAAGGAAAAAATCCCCTGCATTTTTCTATGTAAATCTTTGGATCCCCTTATGTGGCCCCACCCTACCCCAGTGGGTCATAATTTGAACAAATTTGAATTTACACTAAGTCTATGTAAAGAAAGTTTCAACTTTTTAGGCCCAGTAAGTGGTTCTTGATAAGACTTTTTTAAATGATACCACCAAATTTTCACTAATTCTTGATTATCTCCCCTTGAAAGAGGGTGTGACCCTTCATTTGAACAATCTTGAATCCCCTTTACCCGAAGATGCTTTGTGGCAAGGTTGGTTGAGATTGGCCCAGTGGTTCTAGTGAAGGAGACAAAAATGTGAAAAGTTTACAGACGGACAGATGGATGACAGACAAAATGTGATCAGAAAAACTCGAGCTAAAAACTTATGATCACAAGTACATGGAAAGAGTTACAGTATTTGAAAAGCAGTTTTTTTTTCATGCATTGTTTTCAGAAGCTGAAAATGTATGACTTGTATCCATGTTGAAAACAGTGTGATTAAAAATAGTTAATCAAGGTGCTTTGAGTAGCAAAATAAGCTAGACTGGTATAGCTAATTCAACCATAGAGCTTAATTAGTCAATTTTAAGATGCACAACCTTTTCAACTCTTAATCATTCTTAAAATATTTATATCATCATTTCTGATTCAAGGGAGAACTAGAGATATGACCAGAAGTATAACTGTTGACTAATAAACATGTACATGTATATTGTGTTTTTTAAGTCATTTGTTTGTTGTTAAATGTCCCTCTCGGGAATTTTTCACTCATATGGAGACACCACCACTTAAAAATAATGAAGACATACAAGTCGGATTTGAGGTAAACATTCATTTTAGGAGTTTTCAACAATTAAGACGTTAAAAGAGATAACTCCTTCCCCCTCGCCCCTTTCCCTTCCCAGACCCCTGTTTGTTCATGTATGCAAACTTATACTTTGTTTTGACATTAAAAAAAAAATGTAAATATATACAAATAGTTTAATGGTCCATCTCTTTGAATGATTTTCATTCCTAATTCTAGGAGGGTACATGGGTTGACCCAATTTAATGAATGAAATGTCAAGCAATCTTATCATTAATGCACTTTTATTTAATTTGATGTAGTCATATTGTGAACATTTCCAGTTCATTAAAGGTGCTTAGACACATATTTGAACTTAATATTTTCTCGAATTTTCTGTATAATATCACGACTTATATATTGCAATAGCATTTCACACGAAAATATACATGTAATTAAAAATTTATTTTATCTGGAAATTATTGGAACTACGAATTCTGGGACGCATTTGATTAGCACATCTTTGCACTTACACAAATTTTAACTTTATCCTAAATGTTTAAGAAAAGAAATGATTGTGTTATGTATTAATGAAAAATATTACATCTATAATTCAGAAAATCCAGAGTAGAAATGTTCGAAAGTAAAACCAACTCACCGGCCCGGCCAGTATTGTCAGTCCGTGCTCTGTGATGTGTACAGAGTTTAACAAATTGAACACACCGGTGAAACATAAACTGTTTTTGTAAACAGGGCACGAGCTCTGTTAATGTTTACGATTCACCGGGTGTGTTCAATTGTTAAACTCTGCACACACCACTGAGCACAGACTTACAATACGGTGAGTTGATTTTGCTTTCGAACATTTCTACTCTGAATTTTCTGGGTTATATTTTTAATATTTTTCATTAATACACAACAAAATTGCCACTTTTCTTAAGTATTAAGAATAAAATTAAAATACCCGGTATGTGAAAGCGCAAGAATGTGTCAATCCAACGCGTCCAGAAATTCGAAGTTTTAATAACTTCGAGATGAAATAAGATTTTTATTATATCTTAGTATGAGATGCTATAGCAACATATAAGTCATGAGGTTATACAGAAAATTTGAGAAAATACTAACTTCAAATATGTGTCCAAGCACCTTTAAGAGAGTGAGGATGACCTCCAGGGATTCATAGATGTACATAACAGAATAACACAAGAAACAAAATTATGTATAGTCAACTGGATAAGTTTTCATTTGTCATTTAAGGGACAGGGAGCGGCTAGGGATATCCCCCCCCCCCTTGGAATTTGCAGAGTTATTTAAATAGGACTTTATACTGATTTACAGAAGCAAATAAAAAATGAATTTGGACGCCCTCCTCCCTATAAAAAAAAAAAAAAAACGGACCCCACCATCATTGTTTTTATTTTTTTTTTTTTTTTTTTTGTTTGTTTGTTTTTTTTTTGTTTTTTTTTTTTTGCTTCTCAAGAAATTCTGGGCTGGGATTTTTTTTTGACTGAGGTGTGGAACCCCCCCCCCCCCCCCCCCCGCAAAAAATTCCTAGATCTATGCAATGTCAACAGGACAGCGGGAGATAACTCTTCAGAATGTGAAATTCGTCTATTGTGGCATTCGATGATCTTTGATCCTTTTTAAACTTTAACCTAACCATTTACATTTCGGTTTATTTTACCCCAATCTATACTTAAACTTGTACTTACCGACTGTCATAGGTCCTGTCAACTTCATGAAATGTAATCCAATTAAAACAAAATGAATTAATTCCTACTGATATACATGTAACACTGCACCATGTGCAATCTAAAAATGGTAATGGTAAAACTTGTACATGTACTAGTAGGGTGACGCAAGCCCAATGTGATGTAGATTTTTTTTAAAAAGTTGTTCACATACATGTATAGTACAAGAACAAATTTTAAATTATCATAACAAAGGATGTTTTAGCATAACTTTGCCATCTAGGCCTATTACTAAAAACAGGCAAATTGTGTGTGTGTGTTGGGGGGAGGGGGTGACAAAATTGATAGGTATGTATGAGGCGCCGTTTTGGTATTTACTGCCAAAAAGTGATATCACCTATTCAAATAGGTAATATGACCTATACGAATAGGTGATATCACCTATTCGAATAAGTGATATCACTCATTCAAATTGAATAGGTGATATCACTTATTCGAATAGGTGATATCACTTATTCGAATAGGTGATATCACTTATTCGAATAGGTGATATCACTTATTCAAATAGGTGATATCACCTATTCGAAAAGGTGATATCACCTATTCGTGCTGAATAGGTGATATCACCTATTCGAATAAGTGATATCACCTATTCAATTTGAATAGGTGATATCACCAATTCGAATAGGTGATATCACTTATTTGCATTTCTTACAACAATAAATAATGAATGCTCCCTTCCTCAATCTAGATTTCCATTGGAACCAAGCGAATTCGGGGTGCATTAGGGTCTGCAAGTCTCGTCACGTGGCTCGCGAGATTTTTCGATAATATTAATTTCCGGGTACCTCACACATGGAGATGTATTGGGTTATGCATGTTTATGGTTTACACAAAGCGTATAAGGAAAGTTTAAGCAATTGTACAAAGCCGAAGGGTTCTCCGACTTACGATGGATAAATTGAGTCTCATAAAAGCTTTGGTGCGAGCAAGTAGGAGGAAAATTTCGATCGAAGTACAGGTAAACAAGTCAAAGAATGTCACCTGTTTCTTGTGTATTCTTGGGGAAAATAGAAGTGTCTTATATTATATCGGATTAGAATAGTTTTATCATCATTCCAACTAATTTATTAACAGATTTTTCTTGAATTCGAGGATAATGATGTTATTACCAGCTGATTAAGGAGGAGTATTGTAAGTGTCAGATGGGTACGAACACCATCTTGTGACTGCATCACCTTTGGGTAAGTAATTTGTTCAGAATACGCTTCATTTATCAACAGAAATTTAGCTGTTGCGTGTCAGTGGGTCTACTTTTTTAAGTATTCAATGTTTGAAAGCACTTATCAGGTCCAGTACAATCTCGATTTAGCTATATATCTTTATTTAGCTATATAGCTTTATTAAGCTATTCAGAATAGCTTAATTTAGCTACTTTATCACACTTTTTTCTTAAATGTGTAATTTTCTCAGCATGCACAAAAAGTTGCACCTTGGTGCAGTGATGATATTCAACCCTGAACTCATCTGAAATTGATGCATGTAAAAATCACTCATTAAAATCTCCTTGAGAGACTTTGTACTCAAAGTTCTAAAAGTTTTTGGGCTATATAACACAATTGATACAGTTACTTCTTCAATGCAATTATAAAGGAGGCCTGAATTATGGTCAACAAGATAATTGATTGGTAATACATGTAATTCAGTACAATGAGAAGCAATCGTACTTATCCATGCCTCAATGCACACAAGGTAGAGGACAGTTACTCAAACAATAGAAATTTATCTTTTGCTTAAAAGTATTCAAAAGTTGCAAAGTTAGAGCTATCTTTCATTTTGCTTGTTGTTTTGATAGCCCATAGTACATGTATGAATAGTCAAATACATGCGACTTTTTGTCTATTTCTTACAAAAATAATTTTTGTGAAAAACTGCATATAAATAGCTAAATCAAGCTATTCTGAATAGCTTTATATAGCTATATAGCTATTTCAAGCTATATAGCTAAATTAAGAGATTGTACTGGACCTGCTTATTTCCCAACGATAAGACTTTCTTTATATATTCTGCAAATTCTCTCTGTATTTATCATTGAACAAAATTCATATGACTGCAATTATATGACCATATTCTTCAGTTTAGAGAGCATGTTATAGAGGATATTTTGGTTAAAGTTTTGGTCTGTTTCAGTGTTTGAAATATTCTTTCATCTTACACAATTGTATACATTAAGATTTATTTTATAGCTAAAGTACAAGAGAACTGCAGCATCTAAGACTACATGTACATTGACTTTGAATAATCTAAGCAGTATATCCTCAAAAAGGCAACTCAAACACAGGTATGAAATTGATGTCACAAAATAAGTTTTTGGACTTACATTTACTCTTATAATACATATACATGTAAAGCATATCAAATATAGAAAAGAATTAAAGGTTCATCAGGTGACAGCTAGCTCAATCATGCATGGAATATTATTAACGCTGAGTTTCCAAATGTCAAAAGGGTATTCGATATATTCCATATAAGTTGTCATTCCATTATAAGTGATTTGTACAGAGGTTCATTTGCATATAAATGTTGTCAACATTGTTTTACTGTCTTTATTAACTTAAATTGTAATACTAAATTTTAAAAATTGACAAATTCATTCTTTTTAGACAGTGCATATAATTTGGAAAAGAGACCATCAATCCACGGGGGGGGGGGGGGGGGGGTATCGCATGAAAGGCAGGCAGGCAAGTAATGGTACTTTATTTTTGAAATTTTTCGCCCCAGTTAAGTTTTATTTTTCTCATTCTATACACCTTACAAGTAGGTGAATTTAAAACGGGGCATATTCAAACAAGGCAGCATATATCTTTTAAACACAAATGTGTCTGATCAAATTTTAAAAGGGTAAAATTGTTTTCAAGGGTGAAAGAGTGAATATTTTAAAAATTAGAATGGGGTGAAAATACCCAATACAGGTTATATGTATTAACACAGTACATATGCATTTCTCCTTTCTTTATAATGAAAATAATTTGTTCTGTAAAAGGACAAATTTTGTTCTGATTTATATCAAATAAATAAATATGTGCCAAATTTATTATTTTGCAGTCACCTAAATTACCATCAGTTGTGCGTCAAGCTGTGCAAAAATTCTATGTCATGTTACAGAATCTTTCTTAAATACAGGTATATGTCTGCTCATCTAGCAATCTTAGGACATCACTGGATGGTTTTGTTTAAAAAGATTACAGAGTTAACACACACTTCCAGCATGAAGACCAGCCAGTTGCCTCACCTGTCCTGACATTGTTAAAGGTAAATGGCCCTTTCAGAAAAGGATCTGACAACGCAAAGGCTTGCTCATCAATTAAAGATTTCTATTTACTTATAGGTAATTAATTTGAATTTCTGTAGCTTAAAAATTTAATGATGTGAATTAAAAAAAATATTTTAATCAAAATTATTTTTATTTCAGACTACTTTGTGACAGTGAAAAGACATGGCTTTAAATTACTGCATCAGAGATCAATGCAGGTTATAAATCTGAGGAAAACAATAAAGCATCACTTCGAGCTACTTATATCACTGCCTTAATAAGTTGTCTGCACGTGTAACTAACAAAGGACAGTGACCAATTGTACCTATGATATCAGAGGGCATCCTGAAAAACACTCATCACTAAGAATAGAAAACTTCATATGACTTTTGTATCAATCCTTTTGAATTTCATCTGGCTTGGAATTTCAGTAGCCTATAGCATCCTTCAAGCATTTCAGGAAGTACATGTACCAATTTGCAGGTGTAAAATGTTTGAAACAGATTGCTTGTCCCAAATAAAAAAAAAAATAAATTCTCTGCCAATTAGCAGTGTCATGAGCAGTTGATTGATATCACAGTCCCACTGGCATAGTATTTGTAGTTGAATGGTGCCATTTGTAAGAAAACTTTTCACAAAAACCTGGAAAACATCAGTTGGAAAGGAGCTTCTACAAGAAAAACAGTGAACACTTTCTTGAATATTAACAATGATATATCATGCCCATTGACATCCTTTATATAAACTAATTAACCAAAATATAGAGAATTATGTACAAATTTGTCCTTTTGTGTATTTATAGTGTATTAAATTGATTTTACTAATTTATAAATATTTATGTTTTTCACAGTCATAAACATTTACAAATAGAAGTACATATAACATTAAAATATTACATGTTTAGTAGGATAACGTGAAATTGTTAGTCTACAAAAACCATCGCTGACCTCGCCTCGGTCAGCAATGGTTTTTAAGGGGTAAGAATTTCACATCACTCAAAATAAACAGGTAATATTTTTCTTGTTATAGAATGCATTTTAAAGAAAACATCAAGGTGAAACGAACTTGCAAACATTCTGCACAGTTAACATTTTTTATTACTGTATATACTGTTACCTGTAGTCATGCATTTTCAACCATTGGGATGTAATGTTTGGCAGTATGGTAATTGTACTTGTTAACAAATGTTTTTTTAAACCAATCGAATTTGACAATTTAACATGAGAGTATATAACAAATTTATCTAGCATTATGGTGCTGTGAGTAACCATGGAATGTGAGCTTGAGTGAACTTGATCCTGAATTATTAAGTTTTGAATATTGTAATAAAGAAATATGCAGCCCAAACTTTAACCTGTACCTGATTTAAATGGAGTTACATCGATCATTAACAACTTGGAAGTTGTCACACTCTTCATGAGTATAACTGGGGGATCTGCTGCATTTGCAGATACATGGATAACACATTCACTCAAAGCACTCTCTTTTTCAGTACCTTGTGCAGCCCTGTAATATATCATGACAAATGGAGAAAAATGCCTATTTCAAGGAAAAAGAAGTCTGTCTCATAATTGTAAGAATATTGGAAAGGGGGAAGGGGGTCATGAAACTTGGCAGTAAATACAGTTTGTATGTGTACATGAAAAAATGCCTTCTTCTTTGTAGAATAAAATGATTATTTTTTGAGTGTGTGTGTGTGACCATTTTTATTTCTGAATAGACAGGGTAGACTACAGAATGAGCTGACCTTTTTCAGTTATTGTAGTAATTAAAAAAAAGAATGTGTTTTCTACAAGGATCATGTGTTATCGACGTGGTGTTAAACTTTGTATTCCCATGGTCGATGCATTTGGGTACATCTACATGTATTTTTTATTTGCTTTCAATGACATCGCATTCAATATCCCAATCTCATGTATACCTGTCCAATACTCCAAATTATACAATTCTAAGCTAAATCAATGCTTTAAATTTATGAAACCAATCTGTAGATAAGCGTACCTTTTGAATACAGACGATTTTAGCATAAAAACGATTTAATTTTCCTTTTATGCTTAAGTATGTTGGCTAATCTTGGCCCCTTCGGAATAGCTTGTGTTTACGTCATGTAATGAAAAAATAAAGCAATTAAACGCTATACCTGCATCTATCAATCCATTTTCTCCTCTTCTTTGCAACAATCGGGATTCAAAACAAACTACAAGTTTAATGATTCCACTGCAATGCTTACAACTTAAAAAGCGAAGCAGTAATCCATTGTCTCCAAGAACGCTCAGGTACTCGGAAGTTATAAAACGAAAGTGAAAGTCAACGAGACTTACAGACCCTTTGATTTTTCCTATAGTATACATGGTAGATAAGTGTAATAAATATAATTTGTGAGCAAAAACAAACTTCAAATTCTACTGGGTAGCTTAAAACTAAATGCGAAGCTGTAATCCATTGTCTCCAAGAATGGTAAGTTATAAAACGAAAGTGAAAGTAAATGAGAACTAGATGCTGTCATCAGACAGTAATACCCGCACTACGGTGTTTGCCTCTAAATGCACACTCCTTCATATTGGGCTTACCAAGGAAAAAGTCCAAATAATTCTATAATTTACACAGTAAATGTATTCGTCAAATCGAGCATAAAATGCTCAGGTGACCATGTGACCCATGAACCTCTTATACGCATTTCATATACTTAATTCATTACCAGTCTGAAATAACAGAATTTAATTAATGATGTAAATTAGGTTTTGATAAAGGGGGGGGGGGGTATAAATTTTGCCCATAATTGGAACTTTCACATTCTGAAGAGTTATCTCCCGTTTTCGACATTACATTCAGTTACAGGCACAGGTCCAGGAATTTTTTCCGGGTGGGGTGGGGGGTCCACACCTCAGTCCAAAAAAATTCCAGCCCAGAATTTCCTGAAGAGCAAAAAAAAAAAAAAAAAAAAACAAACAAACAATCAAACAAACAAAATAAAAACAATGATGGTGAGGTCCATGTTTTTAAAGTCCTATATAGTCCTATTTAAATAACTCTGTAAATTCCAGGGGGGGGGGGGGGGGTCCAATCTCCCTAGCCGCTCCCTGTCGCTGAAATGACAAATGATCATGTGACTCCAAAATAGTAGAAAACTTTTCCATTTGACTATACATAATTTTGTTTCTTGTATTATTATGTTATGTACATCTAATGGTTTAAGGTTATGAACCCCTGGAGGTCATCCCCAATCTCTTAATGAACTGGAAATGTTCATAATATGACTACATCAAATTAAATAAAAGTGCATCAGTGATAAGATTACTTGACATTTCATTCATGAATTTGGGTCAACCCATGTACCCCATGTACCCTCCTAGAATTAGGAATGAAAATCATTCAAAGAGATGGACCATTAAACTATTTGTATATATTCACATTTTTTTTATGTCAAACCAAAGTATTAGACTAGTTTGCATGTATACATGAACAAACAGGGGTCTGGGAAGGGACAAGGGGAAGGAGTTATCTCTTTATGTCTTAATTGTTGAAAACTCCTAAAATGAATGTTAACCTCAAATCCGACTTGTACGTCTTCATTATTTTTAAGTGGTGATGTCTCCATATGCGTGAAAAATTCCCGAGAGGGACATTTAACAACAAACAAACATTAATGACTTAAAAAACACAATATACATGTACATGTTTATTAGTCAACAGATATACTTCTGGTCATATCTCTAGTTCTCCCTTGAATCAGAAATGATGATATAAATATTTTAAGAATGATTAAGAGTTGAAAAGGTTGTGCATTTTAAAATTCACTAAGCTCTGTGGTTGAATTAGCTATACCAGTTTAGCTTATTTTGCTACTCAAAGCACCTTGATTAACTATTTTTAATCATACTGTTTTCTGAAATGTGAAAATTTGAAATGTGAAGTTTTTTCAACATGGATACAAGTCATACCTTTTCAGCTTCTGAAAACAATGCATGAAAAAAAAAACTGCTTTTTAAATACTGTAACTCTTTCCAAGTACTTGTGATCATCAGTTTTTAGCTCACTTGAGTTTTTCTGGTTTTCTGATCACATTTTGTTTTGTCATCCATCTCTCCGCCTGTAAACTTTTCTTCACTAGAACCGCTGGGCCAATTTCAACAAACCCTGCCACTAAGCATCTTTGGGTAAAGGGGATTCACGTTTGTTCAAGTGAAGGGTCACACCCTCTTTCAAGGGGGGATAATCAAGAATTAGTGAAAATTTGGTGGTATCATTTTAAAAAAGTCTTATCAAGAACGACTGACTGGGCCCAAAAACTTTCTTTACATACACTTAGTGTAACTTCAAAATTTGTTAAAATTATAACCCACTGGGGTAGGGTGGGGCCACATATGGGGATACAATGATTTACATAGAAAAATG